CCCCCATCCTTCAGCATGCCAGCATCCCTTGAGGGTTACTGCTTGTGTTTGTCAGAGTTGTAACAGGTGACCACAGAGCTCTGCCTTTCTGGCTGCAGCTCTACCTTCAGGTGATAGATSTTATCAGAACAACATGGTCCTGTTAACAGAAATTGGATTTCTCTGAGAGTCTGATCCAAGAATACAAAAAGGAAGAAAGTCAGGGAGGCACACAAACTGACAAGCCATTTCTTCACTTTAGCTCATTTTGCTTGTACCTCTTTCTTTTTTTTACACTTATATTAAACGTTTTTGGTTTGACTGACACAACCTTGCTTATTCCACAATTTTGAAGTCACATTATGTCAAATATGTGCACATCCCTGAGCACACAGAAAGAAAATGCACTCAGGCCTGAATGAGTAAGCTGGCATTTGACTACACCTACTTCTATAAGGTGATTGTTGGGATCAAAGTAATGTTTTAATGAAACGTTGCTGCTCTGCACTGATTAGTTTTCTGATAATAATAATGAACTTTGTTACTGTGATTAAACCAATGCCATGCTTTCCAAAACAAGATTATTCTCATCTTTTGATTTCAGAAAAAAACTGTCTAGTTAGCCTTCTGCCACTCTCTGATAAACCTGCTTCATATCCAAAATGTGATGGGATGAGTTACGTTTAGCGGCATAAAATAATGTCTACCATCTACTTGAGAGTGCAGCGAAACAAAGATAATCTTATCTAGAAAAATGATGTATAATGGCGCTTTGTATTTTTTTGGTAAAATGATAAAAAATATGTTAGGCTAGGCTGAACAAATTTTATCTCAGTATCTGCAAAATTGAATGTTTTAGGCCATTTAAAAGCTTTTCTAAGATTTTCTAACGTCAATTAGCTGCATTAGCCATCTTGAACTGGGTTGACACTTGGGCCGGGTGGTATGACCTCAAATTCATATAAATTGGATCCCTTCATGGTAACGGTATATATTACGGTAGAAAATTATCATAAAACACAAAGGTAATGTAATTTTTAGAGCATTTATTTTGCAGAAAACTGTAATCATGATCAAACCCAGCATTATTACTGTTGTGCAAATGAACATAATAGAAGTACAAAATTATGTTTCATATATGTTGCAAAACACTTTCAACAACAAACAGAAACATTTCTCAAATTTTCAAAAATATTAAAATAAAGTGGATATTATAACCAGTACTTCAAGTAAAATGAGTAATTTAGACATAAAAAAAATTCTAAGTTGGCATTAAAGTTGCCTAGTGTGACAGGACCTTACCAGTCACACTATAAAATTTTAGTGTGTGACAGGACCAACCATTTAAGCGTGCTCATAGTTCTAGTCATAAAACAATTTCAGATARCTGGAATGTGTGGTGAAGCCAAATAAATGTAATATCGACCTGCCATACCATAAGCTTCCGCCATGCTGAACTTATCGGCTGCTGCGTTCTCAGAGCAGAAGCCAACTGTTAAATTAGCAAGATGGATTTTTGACTGAACAAACATCCACATCTTTTTCTTTTGTCATCTCTTTGGGTAACAATACATAAAAAATGTTTTTTCTCCGACAACTTACTTGGGTGTGATAAAACTACGGTTGTTAATGCTTCGCTCTGTGCGACGTGCAGCAGGAGGGAGGGAGGAAATGATCCCGTGACACGACGGCATGAAGTAACTTTTCTACAGCGGGAGGGGGGAATATTGAGGATTTATTCTCTCTATATGTGTTTTAAAATGCTCTATTTCTTCATTTATTTTCAGAATATTTCGAACTCCTGCTCAGTTGTCTCTRCACTCACAGCTGACACAGGTGTGATAATGTAACTGACAGGACGTTAGAGGGTAAATTTCTACCGTAGGTCAACTTCATATCATTTCTACCGTCTGTTGCATACCGCACAGTCCTAGT